GGTAGTAGTAGTAGTAGTAGTAGTAGTAGTAGTAGTAGTAGTAGTAGTAGTAGTAGTAGTAGTAGTAGTAGTAGTAGTAGTAGTAGTAGTTTTATCTATTATTATTATTATTACTATTATGATTATTGTCGTTATTATTAGTATCATTATTGTCATTATGATAACTATTACTATTCAATACCTCAGTGTTTCTACGTGGTAGTTGTCGAACAAGTTAAATCTGTAATCGATGCGGTTGCCGCTGTCTGTGGACACGTCCAGAATGCCGAAGTCACGTGGTAGAACCCCGAGCCTCTTGGCCTCCAGTGTCTCTTTCTGGTACAGCATGTTCATAAATATATCCCCGTGGAGATCGATGGCTTGCATGGGGTACTCCATCATCTGGCTGCCCAGGACCTTTTGGAGAGATTAAGTATTGATGTTATTATTGAATGTTCATTTTGTTTCAATTGTCACGTCATGGCTATACTTTTGGATGACACGGTCTACTTATTGTTTGTTTGTGTGTTGTTGTTGGGGGTTTTTTTGTTGCTGTTTGCTTGTTTGTTTGTTTGTTTGTGTTTTGTATGTTGTTTCTAAATTTAAAGTTTCAATTGGAATGCAATTTCGATGAAGTAAAATATAATAAAAATCATCATAGTTTTGATCTCGATATGACAGATTTTGTTTAATATTTTTTTTTCTTGAGAATTGATGAGAAGAGGTGAAAACTAACACGTTTTATTGCCACAAAAACGAGGCTACGTAAGTTGATAAAATGAACAAACTTACTACATTATAAACTGGTTCAAAAGATCCATGGTGGTTCTGTTTATATAAATTGCTTATGTGATACTATAGAAGTGCTCCAATGAATTGTTGGTAATACTTTATATAATCTATCGGAGTAGAAAGAAGGGAAAAGATAAGTAAAAGATTTAAGGCTATATTCTGAAGAATTTATGATCTGTATTCTTATGCGTTTTGTATTTTCCCCATAAGACAGAAAAGGGATCTCGTCTGCGATATCCAGGAAAGGCTATCTCAGGTATACGATAAGACACAAGTTCAATTCCCGCATGGGCAGTTTTGTTTTATATGGTATTTCCGTCCATCTACTGGGACGCAGACTGACCCAGAGGTAGCCTTATGGGCAAGAAATTAGAGATAACCTCTTCTTCTTTCTGCTGAGATAATAATATTATTATATCCAACTCAGTCCCGTTCGACTACGTCGAAGAAGATGCCTCCTAAAAATGTAAATTATGGGGAAGGGAATGTAACATCTATACTCTCAATAAAAAAAACCAGAAGAGTTGCACTTTCTAAAGGTGTTCAGTGAGTCGACTTGTCGTCCATCAAAACTTCGGGGCATGTTCTAGCGTAATCAGCAAACAATATCAACCGACAGTATTAATTCCGTTGGGACAGTATTATTAACTGACAGTATTAATTCAGTGGAGAGAATTATTAATGGACAGTATTAATTCAAGTGGTATATTATCCTCACTGACAGCTGGAAAGAACAATTATGAGGCGACAGAGTTGGGGTTCATAAGATGCATGCTGTGTATCCCATGGACAGAAAGAAAGACAAATGAAAATGTCTTGGTTGAATCAAACTGCAGACTACACCTTATTACGAATATATACAAAAGTGACAGGCAGTTTCATTGGCCACACAATGCAGAAAGAAGCATTGGAGAATATTGTAAAAACAGGGACGTTTGGTTAAAAGAGAGGCAGAGGCAGATAGAGGAAAAAGAAACTGGACAAGACGACAACATGACTGGGGACAACAAGAACGACTGACAACATCGCTGCAACGAAAGACAGAGGGAAGTGTAAGTCCATGATCGCCCACGCCAGTCTGTAAGGCACCGGATGATGATGATGAAATTATTCTTACATTTGAGTAGAAGTTGACAGAGCCGTACATGTCGTCGGTGCGGGTTCCAAACTGCACGAGCCCCCACATCTGACCAGTGAGACCCGCCCTCTTCTTGTAGTCGTTGTCTCGGTAGTTCTTCAGGAAGGCAGTGGTCACTCCTTTCCTCTTGCAGTACTCCTTGCCGAAATAGTACCGGGTCTCGTTCTGAAATAATTGACCAGGGCGGTGAGAGTAATCGTGTTATTGTCTGTTTGTTTGTTTGTTTGTTTTAGTATGAGTTTTACCGCACTTGCAGCACACTAAGATTGAGCTATTTGCTTCGTCAAATGAAACGATCCATCGCTTATTAACAATTTAAAACCTATTCTGTTCTTGCTCTTTGACTTACCGAAATGAACAGATTTGCCGATTTATTTCAAAGAACTTCTAGTTAACATTTAATTTAAAACACTACAAGCTTTTAAAAGAGCATTTTTGATATTAGAAAACAATATCTGGGAAGTAAATTGGAGGAGAGTGGATACATCCCCTCGTGAACTAATATGGTGTTCAGGGCTTCCTTGGAAGTGCAGAACGGTATTCCTTACTCTTCCCTCCATGTAGTACAGCTTCAGCTGCCCATCCCCTAACCCCCACCCCCGAAATCCCCCACCCCTCGTTTCCCTTTCATGTAGACTTACTACCATCTTATACAGCTCTGTCTATCTAATCCCCACCCTCCGTTTTAATTTCTTATGTGAGGCATTGTAGTGGGATAAAACGCTCCTCAAAGTTCTGAAATTGAAGACATTGGCATTATTTTGCTCGTTTGGCAAATTTTATTGAATTAGAAAAAAAAAAATTTGTGTGGGGGGGTAGTCTCAATCTTTTTTTTTTGCCATTTAAAAACACATCAATTAGTGAGTTTTACTGAAAACTTTCGTTAAAAGAGTAAATTTATTGTATTCAAAGACTCTCCGGCTTTAGAAGTCACCAAACTTTGGGGGCCATTTTCTCTCTAATTTTACCTCTGAAAACAAAGCGATCTCCACCTCATTCAATCACAAATTGCTATTTCAACTTCTATTCATGATAGTGTGGTTTTTTTTTTACCGTAAGCAAGACAACTGAACAAAACTCTAATGATATCAATGCCTCCACGAGCCCAAAAATTGACGAGCGCCTGATTTCATCGCTTGTGACACACATAGACCTACCACCATCTTATATAGCTCCAGTTGCTCTCCGCTAGGTCCCTTCATGTAGGCAAAGCTTAGGCCGGCAAAGTTCCCAGAATCCAATGTAATTCCTTTATCAGCAACAGAAGCATTCCTCGCGGCTTCTTCGTTTGGCTCCTGTAGAAACAAGATTGTTTTTTTTTCTTTGTTTTTTTTTAATGAGAGTACTTGAACTATTCTAGTTAAATTTTAAATATAAGAATTTCTCAAGGAGTAACATTGTTCCAGAGGCCTTGTCAAAACCCACTCTAAATTATCAAATATAGGGAGAGAAAATTACTAAACGAATAGAGGAATGAGTAGATAGATAAAGGAACGAATGAAATAATTAAGAAATGAATGGATGGATTATTTGACTGAGTGAGTGCATGGATGTACGAATAAATTCAACAAGTATTAAACGAAATAACGAATGGAAACATATATAAATGAATGAATTAATTAATTAATTAATCAATCAATACATGAATAACTTACTATCTAACTAACTAACTAAATAAATACAAATCAAAATAAATACATAAAATGAAAGATAGATAAATAAATAAATAAATAATATAAAAGAGCAGTTCGACCCAAAAGCTGTCAATTACCTCGACCTTCCTGTTGAAAATGACTTTGTCGTAACCCCCGGCTACCGACTTTCTCTCCAGCTCATCCACAAACTGATTAAAATCCACGTCATCCTTGACCCAGAGACAGATCTGAGCGGCTCTCAGCACGCCGGGCCCCGTGAGGCGGATATACTTGGGGTAGGTGATGTGTTCTGGGGTGTCTCTGCGAGCGAACTCAATCAGTTGGACCAGACCGTTGTCGAAGAGGACAAACTCCCCGCGGACCTGAAGGGAAGCAGAAAGTTGCGTTGTCTTAGCCATTTGTGACACATTCTTTTATTTCTCTAAACACCGTTTATGTTCATTAAAAACTACACTATGTGTGGAGTTTTACTGGAAGGAAAAAAACCGTTGATCAAACGCTGCAAAATGTAAATTGTGTTTCCAAGGGTTCTCTCTTTTTGGAAGTCACCAAACTTTGGAGGCCATTTTCTCGCTAATTATATCTTTGAAACCAGACAATCCCAATCTCCTTCATCATAAGTATCTCGATTTCTATTCTTGATAGATGGTCACAATCTTTTTTTCATCGGAAGCAAGACAAATTAACAATCTTTGCGATGCTACCAATAACTCCACGTGCGAACATTTTGACGAGCGCCTGATTCCACCGCGTTGTGACACATTTGGAGTTTGAAATTTGAAAACTGTGCCCAAGAGCAATCTCTAAATTATCCCATTTTTTCGTGTTTTTTTATTTCTATTTTTCCATTAAAAATTAAATCAATGTAATTAGTTATTTTTATTTAAATATTTGTCCTGTGTATCAGTTTTTTTCCCGTTTACATTAATTTACTTTTTCCCGTTGTTTCTTAGAAGTCCTTTTTCCATTTTTTTCACTCCCACCTTCCATTTCGATCACAATTTGTTTGTATGTAGTTATGTTGTTGCATTTTTATTTGTTTGTTATTACTTCTTTTTCAGCTTTATTAGTTAAGATTTCTTTTAAAAAGGAGTTATCATTAGTAATAATATACATCACATGTTTTCTAATTCTTCATATTATTATAACTTGCAGTTGCTCGTATGGATGTACACCTCTAATCTCAACACTAGGTGTGCATTTTACGTCATGAGTTAAACTGTGCATTGGTAACGCTTTTCTTATTATCACTATTATTGCTATCAGCCATTTTGCAACACTCCCTACCTCGTAGTTCCCAGCATCGCTGATGTCAGGAACACCGAGAGTGTCCGGGTCGACACCTAACGAGCGAGCTTGAAGGATCTCCTTCTGGAAAAATCTGTTGTAATGTTCGTCTCCGTAGAAGGAAAAGGAAAGATCAGTCAAGTGTTTTGCTCCGAGCATATCCGAGTACCATTGCGCGGCACGGCTGGCATTTTCAGTGGTGACTGCAGCGAAAGCTATACCGTGAAGGTTGGAGGCGATTTCCCGACCGTGAGAGAGAGACAGCGCCAGGAAGAACAAGGAGGAAACGCACAGCATCAAACGAAACATCTTGAGGTTTTTGCTGACACTGTCTTCACTGCAAGAAGAAAGCTATGGTTTATTGGTGGTGAGCGAGATTGGTCACTTTTATACAGTTCTGTCGGCAGATAAAATGATTCCCCGGTGAAGTTTGCAGCGTCATATTCATGGGAGCAAACTTAGGCTATGACTTCTGTGAAATTTTTAAAAAGCAATAAATAAGACCGCAGTACGATTGTGGACTGCGCGTGGACTGAAGGTGCAGAAAACGTTTTAGTATTTGACATGACTTGCTTTTTGACTTAGAAGAACGGACTTTCTGTGTACCCTTCGAGACAAACTTTCTATGAGGTGAAATCTTTTAAACTGAGTTTTTTCTTCTAAAATTAATTTTGTATAAAACAATAATGAAAACCTACACATTTTAGTATGCTTTGAGCATTTTTTCTAAATGCTGAAAGGTCACTAAGATAAAACATACACGCACAAGAACACGCGCGCACACACACACACACACACACACACACACACACACACATATATATATATATATATATATATATATATATATATATATATATATATATATATATATGTATAAATATATATATATATATATACAGACATGCACACTCTCTCACTCAGTCACAAAGAAGATAGCGAGAGAGAGGGGGTGGGGCAAAAGAGAGAGAGAAAGAGAGAGAGAGTTAGACAGAGCGAGAGCCAGAGAGAGAGAGAGTGGGAGAGAGAGAGAGGGAAAGAGAGAGAGAGAGAGAGAGACAGACAGACAGACAGACAGACAGACAGACAGACAGACAGACAGACAGACAGACAGACAGACAGATTAGATTTTACAAAACATCCAAAGCATAAGCCAAAACAGACCCAACCATAGAAACTACAGATGCACTCGTTCAAGCGTCGATTGAATTCTCCTGTCGCTCTATTCCTTTGAAAAATATTTTCATTCCATATTTTTTTCAGAAGTTTTTTTTGTAATTTTTGTTTTCCATCTCACCACGAACCGAAAAACAGCGGTGAAGGTCGTTTCACACCAGACACGTTATGAATAAATAGTCCTTTTTTTCTTTCAACCTCCTTCTTTCTCATCAATACCCGGAAGTAGCCAGTCGCGAATGCGGGAGGGTTAAGAAGACTGCCTCTGCTCTCTGGAACCAAACGTATTTCCCTCGGCTTCCAGTGTTCGTTAAGTGGCAAAACGTTCCGTCTTTAGAACAATCCACCTTGTCCTTCAATGACGGAAACTCTCAGCAGTTATTTATGTTGTTGTTATTGGGAATTTTTTATTCATCAAGCACTAAAAATGTCCATTTTCCGTCAGCTGCTACTTTTTTTCTTTTTATAATTGCTTTTTTCTGTGCGTGAGTGTGTTGGTTTGTATTTTTTATGGGGGTTTTGTGTTTTAAAGGTAATTTTTAGGTGTTGAAGTGGAGAGGATGGGGATTTTTTGTCGTTTTTTTTTAAATTTCGTGTTTTAGTGTCTTTATTTTCTGTTTTTGGAAATGGGCGGGTCTTTTGCGTTCTCAAGGTGAGATACACTTGTAGCGATAAATAGAGAGAGGAGAGAGAGAACTAATGCCTGTGCAGTATGTAGAGAGGCAGTGATTAAGAGAAAAATGTTGAGCAAGAAAGTGAGAAAGAGAAAGAGATAGACAGTCAGAGAGATAAATAGAGACAGAGAAAAAGTAAGAAAGAAGGGAGAGGGAGATTAGGGGAAAATCCTGACTAAAGATAAGAAGGAAGACAGCAAAAGCGTGGGAAGTTACAATGATTAACAGACAACGACGTAAACAGCAGACAAGCGGAGGGGGGAGGGGGTCTTGGTAGTTGACAAGTGTTCCAGAAGTATTATACTTTGACAAGTTCAGAAACTACGTACCTTTGTAGTTCTCTCTTTTTTTTTTACAGAAACATACGCGTTTAGCGCGCAATCTGCAAGTCATTTTGGGGGCAAGTACGCAAGAGTCTGCCTCTCTGCAAGTCACTTGGCAGAGCGTGTTGACCTTGCAAAGTTTTGATCTGCAAGACAGTTGTTGATCGATGGGTGAGCATCAGTTTCTGTTAAGAAATGCAAATAGAGCTATTTATATATTCGAAACACGAGAAAGCCAGAACATACAGAAATAAACTCTCAACCT